TCATCCAAAAGGTCTGCCTGTCTGCCTGCCTATCTACCAATCTACCTACCTACCTACCTACCTGTCTCTGTCTGTCTGTCTGTCTCTCTATCCATCAATCTATCCATGTTCGAAGCGCCAGCGCTGCAGGCACATTGGGAAAGTAGACCAAAGCCATTCTGGGAGGGAGGGAGGGAGGGAGAGAGAGGGGGGGGGAGAGAGAGAGAGAGAGAGAGAGAGACCTGATGCATCAGATTGAAATGAGGCCTAGGTTAGACTGAGGCCCTTTTCCACATTGAAACATCTTTGCCAGCACATTGAAACATCTTTGGCTTCTATAATTAAAGGTTTTGTGGACAAAACATGGTCAAGACTATCAGGAAGCTCTCACATTTTGTTGAGGCTTTAAACAGGATCCATTGGACCAGATCTCCATTCTAAAAATTACTTTTCCCCAATGTATTACAGTGCCAATTCTGAAGAAGGCAAAACCAAAATGTATTGATAAATTACAAGGAGAACACACACACACACCCCCTTCTAACCCTGCTGGAGCAGGTGATTGGACTAGAATATATATCTCATTATCTTTCTCCTCCCTCCCTCCTTCTTTATTTCTTTTTCTTTCTATCCCTTCCTTCCATCCCCTCTCTTTCTTTGTCCTTTTTTCTTTCTTTCCCTTTTCTCTTTCTCTCTCTCTCTCTCTTTTCTTTCTCTCTCTTTCCCTCTCTCAGGCTCATCCCATTGACTTGACTTGCTTGGGCAGGTCCCTCCAATGCAGTGGGCTCAACGGGGGGGACCTGTGGGGCCGGCACCTAGAACACGGCAATGTCGGCATGTTTGAAAAGTAGAGCAAAGCCAGAGGTCGGTAATTTTTGCTGCAAAGAATCACAAAAGCTTCTGGGTTGTGCACAACAAGGGACACACACGTCAATGCAATTCAGCAACATAAAATAAAGAGATACAAATAAAGCAAATCAACAAGAATCGGCAAAGCATCTCTGATTAGATTTTATTCACTGCTAGAATCTAATCAGAGATGCTTTGCCGATTCTAGTGCAATGACCTGCTCCAGCAGGGTTAGAAGGGAGTGTGTGTGTATGTGTGTGCATGGCTGTCAAAACTCCAAAAACGGGTCAAGTATCTCTGGGGAAGCCAGTCATAAATTAGAACACTTGCTAAACAACCAGCCATTAAATGAGGACCACTTGTATTTGGTTTGCCAGTCACCTGGCCACGCCCACCCAGTCACATGACCACCAAATCACACCTACCCCGTCATGTGACTAGCAAGCCATGCCCAGCCAGCAAGCCACGCCAGCCAGTCACATGACGAGTAAGCCACGCCCACCCAGTCACATGACCAGCAAGCCACGCCCACCCAGTCACATGACCAGCAAGCCACACCCTCAAATTAGGCCACGCCCACAGAAATTTGAATCCCACCCCTGGGTGGGGGGCACCGAGGATGAGTTTGTAGCACCAAGGGGGCGGTGGACTGAAAAAGTTTGGGAACCACTGGTCTAAACCGACTGGCTGGGAATTCTGAGAATTGAAGTTCACATGTTTTAATGTTTCTAAGATTGAGAAATGCTGCCTTGGCAAAGAGTTTTTTTTTAAAAAAATCATATTGATGTGATGCTGTGTCAAGTATAGCACGAAGAAAGTGAAGCCTGTATCTGACTAACTTCATATTTAACCAATTGAGAGACATGAGCCTTGCAGATTTCTCAGAAGTCAGATTCTACTGTCTCTGGAGATTCTCAGTCATCCAGGTCATAATTGTCCCAGAGGTGGTTTTTCAAGAGGCAACTGGTCTTCCTTGTTTTTCTCTGAAGACATTTTGCTTCTCATCCAAGAAACCTCTAAGAGCTGAAGAAGCTTCTTGGATGAGAAGCAAAACATATTTAAAGAAAAATAAGAAAGTCTAGTTGCTTCTTGAAAAACTACCTTTGGGACTGTGTTCTCTTTCAAAATAAACTAATGTAAAATCTTTTCTGTTGCAGATTCTCACAAATGATGCCTCCCCTACTCCTGGTACTGTTATGGAGTTAAAGAACAATGGCAGTCAGAATTTGGAAGGTTGTAATTCAAGGGAACAGTTGACTTTTCTTGGGAGTTTTGAAGGCGAAACCCTACCGGTATGGGATGATGTCTTACCAGTTCCAAATTTAGAGATGATGTAACAAAAATATGTATTTGTATGTAGTGGAACATTGGTAAAGGGATTTCCATGTGAACCCTTTCATATGTTCAACCACATCAAGACTGTCCACTCACCTCTAGTTTTTCTTACTTAAAGAAGTTCTTGTACATTCACCTGTAAACAAAAGAACCAGCTAACATTTGTAGGGATTGGGAACTTACCTTTCACAGAGTTGCATTAATTCCTTTCCTTTTAAACAATATCTGCTTTTAATCTATAATAATAAAAATACAAGAATTAAAAATAAACGTTAAGTACCATAATGTATTATAGCACAAAAAGCAAAACAAAGATAAATCAAGAAATAATTAAAGTGTAGGAAAAACAATGCAACAATAACAATATGTAGTGTTATCTTTTTGTTTTCCTATCTGTACTTGTGACCCTTGGTTTCATGTTTAACATCTTACTTTTCTTTATTAAATAGGATATGAAGATGCAAAAAGAAAATTGGCTGGAAGAAACTATGCCTGATCATAGCCAGGCAGCACTTCCCGTGCCTCAATGGATGAGGAAGAAAGGCGAGTATATCAGTAAATGTTTATGAGTCCATGTTTTTTTAATAAGCCTCTTGTCTCTGGCTGGGAGAAATAATTGATGCCCTAATTATGATAAATTATTTTGGCCTGTGCTTTAAAATCTTGCTCTGTCATTTGATCACTATTTCTCCACACACACACACACACACACACACACACACACACGCCCAGCAGGATCACCTTAAGCAGGTACTTTGAGTATGCTCCCAAAACCTTGGTCTGTTCTCAAGACCAAGTTCCATCACAAGAAACCCCAAGGAATCATGCCTGTTGTATATCAATAGGGTCTGATTAGATTGTGCTGTTTTAATGCTGATGGCAATAAAGTCCTGCCAGCATATTGCTCCTAATAAATCCTTTGAAGTTTTTTCAAGTTTGGCTCGAGATTCATGATTTAATTAGGGTGATCGCTGGAATCCTGACAGCTGATCAAATAATAGGGTAGAGAAGGGCAGCCCAGTTTAATGTTCAAATTAGCTACATTACATTCAGTCCAGCATGATTTACAGAAGAGTCCTGCTTCTGTATATACTAGATCTTTCTAGAGGTTTGGGGCCCCAGCTGGAGATAAATATAATAATATCCATCTGAACCTACTCTGAATAGAGTTTAATGGCCTAGGACCGTGATGGCGAACCTATGGCACATGTGCCACAGGTGGCACGCAGAGCCATTTGTGCCGGCACGCAAGCTGCAGGCAGACTTACCTCGCTGCACATGTGTACACCTCACAGTTGATTTTTGGCTGGTTTGAAGCCTTTTTCGGCTTCCCAAAGGCTTGAGGAAGGCTTCTTCAGGCTTCTACAAGCTTTGCAGGCTGAAATCTAGTCCCGTTTCATTACTTCTGTTTTTTTCGGAAAAACAGGAAGTGATGAAACAGGGCTAAATTTTGGTGTACAAAGCTTGTAGAAGCCTGCAGAAGCCTTCCTTAAGCCTTTGGGAGACCAAAAAAGGCCTCAAACTGGCCAAAAATCAGCTGTGAGGTGCAGTTCAGGTAAGGGGGTGGCGGGGTGGGGGGGATTGTGCGCACATGCGTAGGGGACATAGGGGGGCGTACATTGCCTTCTGGGTGCTGGCACGCGAATGCGAGTGTGCTAGCACACGCACAATTTTTGGCCTAGGATATGGTGGCTCAATTTCTTTTATTGCTGGACAAATTTTTTCCAGTTTTGATTTATAGTCTAATTGGAAAATTTTATGAATTTTACTGGGAGACAGGAGTGCATATAAAAAATGAAGGCAGTGGCTGAAGGACTCTTCTTTCATCACTGAAAAGGGTTATAGACTTAAAGTAACATGTTTGGGCTGTAGGAATAGAGCCCTGAATAGATATAAATAGCCAGTGCTCGTGTGAAATCAATTGCCACTTGGCATGACACCATAATAGACTCTTGGTCTTAAGGGGGAGGGGAACTCCACAAAATAGCTTCTTGCAAGTATGTGACCCGCCAATAAAATAAATGTGATAAAAATGTTCAAAGTGAGGTTCAGTGAGGAGTTGGTCAGTGTGTAATGTTCATAATCTGACTTTTGCTCTTTCCTTTTGTGAACCAGATTTGGATGAAGAGGAGGCCTCACCAGAGACTTCAGGAACTAGATCACCAGAAACAAAATCTGTGAAAGACTATTATCCAGACTTCATGGGCTTCCTGACTACATCAGACTTGGAATGTTCCCTTTGTATACGGTCAGTTAATTAACAGCACAGGAATAATCAAGGAGAGAAGAAACCTAGAACTAAGGAGAAATTTCCTGACAGCTAGAACAATTAATCAGTGGAACAATTTGCCCCCAGAAGTTGTGAATGCTTCAACATTGGAAGTTTTTAGGAAGAGATTGGGCAACCATTTGTCTGAAGTGGTGTAGGGTTTCCTGCCTAAGCAGGGAGTTAACTAGAAGACTTCCAAGGTCCCTTCCAACTCTGTTATTCTGTTAAGAGCTGCTAGGAAAAGGATTTTGAAGTGCTATGCAAATTGAGCACGAGGTGTCTTCTTAGCCCAGGGATGTCAAACTGGCAGCCCGTGGGCCAGATGCATCATGCAGTGGCCACGCCTACCCCAGCTCCGGGAAGGGAAAAAAACATCATGATATGTCATGTGACAGCAATGTGATGCCCCAAATTTGACACCCATGTTCTAGCCAATGGATTTCTGAAAAAGCCATGGGGATAAACCCTCTCCTTATTTGTTGAAGAATAAAGAAAAGGTTTTGAAACATATTTGAACTTCCTCTTGATATTTTCAATACATCTATTCTATTTAAAGTACTATTCAAAATTATATATATTTTTTGTAAATAGAAAAAAACCTACATCCATGATAACCCTCGGTGGAGCAGTGGTTTAGAGTGCTGTACTGCAGGCCACTTCTGCTGCCTACCGGCTGCTTGCAATTTGGCAGTTCAAATCCCACCAAGGTCAAGGTTGACTCAGCCTTCCATCCTTTTGAGGTGGGTAAAATGAGGACCCAAGTTGTTGGGGGCAATATGCTGACTCTGTAAACTGCTTAGAGAGGGCTATAAAGCACTGTCAAAGCAGTATATAAGTCTAAGTGCTTATTGCTATTGCTGTAACCCGAATATTCTTACATGCACTAAAATCCAGTGTATATTGTAGGACTGCTTCCTAATGATGTGCAAAAAAGCATGGTCAGGTTTTCACCAATCAGAAATGAGACAGTCCTCATATGAAACATGAAGTGGTACACTATTGCATGGCATGATATCAGAAAATCTTTTTTGACTGTTAAAAAAGAGGAGAAAAATAGTGATGATTACACACCGAAGTTTTTGTTCGTCATTAGAATTTAAAATAATAATTTTAACAATCTAAAGAGTTAAACATTGAGGCATGCTTTATATAAGACTAGCCCAACCATGAAGTTTATGGATCTCATATAATGAATTATTGCTAGAAGGCAAAGTGAACTTGCTTGCAAAACTCTCCACCTCTGGGTTCAGTGTAGTTCTTGCCATTTAAATCCTCTTCTCAGTTGTAAGTGAGAAAAACCTTGAGACATGGGCAAAGAAATGCTGCCTGGTCTGAAACGTAGAGCTGGGAATGGAAGATATTAAATGGATGTGCAGACCTCAGTGCCTGAACATTTACTGTGGAAAGGCTATGAGCAAAAATTAAAACTGGGTTAGAATGTCATGACAGTATTCAATACAATAAAGGGACGGAATGCCTGGAAAATAAGTCCAGGCAGAACTTAATAGAGGACATCTTTGACCTCTGAAATTGTTATCCAATTCATTGCAGAGTGGTACTACTTTGTAATGAACTGAAGTTTGTTTCATCTGAAGATGGATATTTCAAAGAAAGTAAGAAAGGAGGGCTCTTCGGCAGTTAACCTTAATAGATTGTAATCTCTTTTGCAGAATATGTTTTTATGTGGAAAATAGAAATACTGGCTGTATCGTACAATGGTCCAGTGTGATGGAATTGGAGTGCAGCAATTTCGGGACTGGTGTTGGAAAAAAAAATAGAGAAATTGTAGAACAATATTTTTCTTCATATAAGTATTGTAGTATTTTAATGAGAGCATTGAAAATTGCAATCATGACCATGGCTCGCTGCAATGTCATAATTGTGAGCCAGGCCTGCAACTGCCACAATTTTGTGGACTGATTGTAAAAGTTACATCATAACTTTGAATGGTTGTTGAACAAGTGGCTATAATCCGAGGACTACTTATAATCGTCAGGTGTCATAGGAATCTTAGTGTTAGCGCCTTGGCAGCTGATTCAGTTAAAAGTCAATCTTCAAGAAAGATTCACAAAGTCTTTAACTGGCTGTATTGAAAGAAAAGATTTAGACTTACAAGAATTTGAGCACTCAACACTTATCACTTTAGAACCGATTTATCTTACCTTACATTGTGGTGGACACTTTTTCTATTTCTTTGCAACTTCTCTCTTGTGAACTCGGAAGAGGGCATTTATCTCAAGTTAACACAAGAACTTGCTGGTGGCTGTTTACAAAACCATTGCAAATTTTTTCTTCTGATCCTGTGAACTGATTATTATGTTTTCCATCATATATTTCCCAAGAAAGCAGCACATTTCTCTTGATATTACTGAATTATGATGCAATTGGAATGGCCTATATGGACTGGGGTTTTTAAACTCTCTTCTGCAAAATCCTTGATGGGGATTCCATGAGAGATTAAGAATAAAGTTCACTTGAATGCAGCCACTTTATTACTAGAACTTTGCCTCTGGATATGGGGTTCCAGAAATAATAACAACACAATAATTTTAACTAACAGGCTCCATGGCCTGAAAAGGCTAAGAAAAACCTGATTTATACTATTAAATCAATCTCATGAATATTCAAAAATCCAAATAAAAAGCATCTATGACTGTCCTGCAAAATGCGGTCCATTATCTTCCTCTTAGTTTTGCTCTTAACATTGTATTCAACCAGAATCTTTCTTCCTGCCATTTATCAATTATTCCATCTTCTTTTCTCCGGGATAGTGGAATACAAACCATTCTTCTGAAGGATGATGAGACACACAATAATATTTCCCTCTGATCATAATTTTCTTTCAAACTAAACAAGTTCAGGTTCCTCAGTTTCTTTTCCTAGGACTTAGTTACTAGTTGCTTAATGATCTTATTGCTCTTCTCTGAATTGTTTCCATTTTATCTTAAATGAGGAATTGCAGACTGTCTTTAAAATGGGATCTGAACAGAGCGGGATCTTCTGTCATTTTGAACCTAAGCTTCCTGCGTTTACCCTTTTTTACTCCTGTCAAAAAACTAATTCATATTTAGCTTGTAGTCACCATTTTTGCAAGTATCATTACCAAACTAGGCAATAACTCAACCTATGCATGTGAGATCTAAGTGAAAAACTCAACCTTTGCCTCAGTTAAATGTTATGCTGCCATTTTCTATTCATTTCTGTAACCTCTTAAGATTATTCAGAAATGTACTGCTGTCTTGTTAGATATTCTTTCCAACCACCTAATAGTAAGTAACTTAAGTAACTCCCTAACAATGAACATGTCAGTGCCCAACGAGAGATGGTCTTTTTCTCTGCAGTATGTTTTATGAACCTGTCACGACACCATGTGGCCACACCTTCTGCAAAGAGTGTATGGAGCGTTGCTTAGACCACCGACCCAACTGCCCACTTTGCAAGCAAAGCCTGCAAGAGGTAAGAGGGACAATTTTCTCTTGGTTGCTTTCAACTGCTGGGTGCTTTTCTTTATGTAGTCAAAAAAAGGAGATGGTACATGAGTTCTGTCATTCCAATGCATCTGAAGAATATTAAATTAGGTAATATTTTCAGATTTTGGATTTGCAGGTTGGCATGTTCTTTAGCCTTGACTTTTACTATTGAATGGAATTTTTTTGTGTAATAAAAGTGGGGTTCTCCATCTCCTGGCAGGTAAATTTTTTTATTTTTACTACAATTTTATTGTGGTTTTATACATTTGGGTGTGTGTGTGTGTGTGTGTGTGTGTGTGTATCTGTTTTCTTAAGTTTTCGCAGGTATCTATATGTATGGTATTCAGCTTTGTTCGGGTATTTTCCCACGTCATTATAGTTGTGCTTTTAAAGTTGTAGCAACGTTTCTGCAGAATCTCATCTGCCATCATCAGGCTTCTGTATACTGTTCATCTGTATAGTGTTCGTCAGACGAACACTATACAGAAGCCTGATGATGGCAGATGAGATTCTGCAGAAACGTTGCTACAACTTTGCCATCATCAGGCTTCTGTATTGTGTTCGTCTGTGAGTCTGACTTTCACAGCCGTTTCTGTTTTAAATTTGGTGCTAGCCTACTGCTGTGCCAGAATGTTTTTTTTTTCATCCTGATTGGTTGGGAGTCTTGGTCTGTGTATATTGATCTTGGAGTTTGCTGTGTTCTGCCTGATTGGTGTTTCTAATATCTTCTGTCTGTTTTGTGGCTTTTTTTTTTGTCTTGATTGACTGGCAACTGTGTTCCTGTATTGGAGGCTTTTAGTGAGGCTTGGCTCCGAGTAAATGGACGGCTATCATTTATTATGAAGCTAAGTTTCATCTGGGTGCTTGGTTGGGATGTGTTTGAGCTGGGGGGGTGGGGGGGGGGGGGGGTCTGTTTGTACCCAGGTGTTTGCTTGGCTTGTGGTGTGGAGATTTTTTTGTTGTGAGTGCAGGCTTCCAGATAATTGACAGTCTGGTGGAGTCATCTCTTCTGTTCATGCTTTCAGGTCTTTTTTCAATCTCTATGGCTTCTCTGATAATTCTGTAACTGGGGTTAGCTATAGTGGCTAGGGTTTTGGTGCCATTGAAGTCGATGCTATGACCTGTGGCTTTCATGTGTTGGACTAGTGAGGAAGTGTGTTCCAGCTTTTTTACAACAAAAAAAAAGCTTTTTTTTTTTTACAACAAAAAGCCTGACTCACAGACGAACACAATACACAAGCCTGATGATGGCAGATGAGATTCTGCCGAAACGTCACTACAACTTTAAAAGTACAACTATAATGACGTGGGAAAATACCCGAACAAAGCTGAATACCACACACACACACACACACGGTTTTATCTTGATGTTGTAAGCCACCCAGAGTCACCTGGCATGGAGATGGCTAGCAAACAAGTTTACTAAAGAAAATAATTTAGCTTCAGCAGAATGATTTTGTATACAGTAAGTCATAAGAGTTAGCCATAGTAGTTTAGACCAGGGGTCCCCAACCACCGGTCCGCGGACCGGTACCGGTCCGTGGAACAAGTCCTACTGGGCCGCTGGTTTGCTGGGCGCCACCATCTTTTTTTTGATGAAAAAGTGCTTCCGGTGAGCTTTTCCGGGTAGAAAGCTCACCGGAAGCACTTTTTCATCAAAAAAAGATGGCGGCGCCCAGCTAATGCCGGTACCGGGCCGCGCCATAAAAAAGGTTGGGGATACCGGGCCGCGGCATAAGAAAGGTTGGGGATCACTGGTTTAGACTATCTCATAAAAATACTAGGCTCCTTACCAAGTGCTAAATCAAATAGTTTTATTAATTATTGCCAGGTATTTGCTATAATTAGTACAAAACTGTTTTTGCATTAGGCATTAGATAGTGAATATTAAATATTGACAGGTGCTGAGTATGGGATTATCAGAGTAAAATATTTGCAAAGGCCATCGGAGCAGAGATGGTATTCAGCAGGTTCTGACCAGTTCTGGAAAACCGGTAGCAGAAATTTTGAGTAGTTCAGAGAACTGGCAAATGCCACCTCTGACGGGAGATTTTACAGTATCCTTTCCCTTCCATGCCCACCAAGCCACGCCCACAGAACCGGTAGTAAAACGTTTTGAATCCCACCACTGCATCATTGGGTCTCCTGAGCCAAAGTTTTATTCTTTGGAAAAAGACATTGTTGAAAAGAGATTTCAGTTCTGTGCAATTCAGAAGTGGATATTGAAAAAAACTGGCTAGGTCCAGAAGAGGAACTCAGAGAACAGAATGTCTTTTGCTGAATGCTTTCAAACTTCCATTCTGCAAAAGATGTACTTTGCGAGACTAGAATATATAAGACATATCTGTAAATATGTGTAAAATATATCAAGGTGATATAATTATGAATGTTTGGTTCCTTCCAGTATCTGAAAGCTGGAAAATACAATACTACCATTCTGCTTGAAGAGCTGATGACGACAGTCTTCCCTTCACAACTGGCAGAAAGGAAACTAGTCCACCAAGCTGAAATGGTAGAACTTTCAAAGTAAATATGAACCTTTTGGCTGCATATTCTATGTGTACAATCCCAGAAGCAGAAAACATATTGTACAGGAATTGGAAAGTATATTTGACGGTTTTATCCAGTTCTTCTCTCTCTCTGTTTGTCTCTGTCTCTCTGTCTCTCTCTGTCTCTATCTCTCTCTATCTCTCTGTCTCTGTCTCTCTCTCTCTCTCTCTCTTTCTTTCTCCCCTATACAAGGTAAGCTTTTGATGACCCAACAATCTGTTCATGGTGACCCTGAGTTATTTATTTATTCCTTGGCCACCCTTGCTTCATAATGAGTGCCTGACATCATCATGTCTTCAAGCCTTTCTCTCTCTCTGTCTTCTGTAATCTGACATCAAGGCTGTAATGGCAATGTCTCCCTATGCCTTATTCCACATTCAGAGAAATGCAGCTTGCTTTCTATCAGTGTAGGGTCCCAGTGTTGATTAATGTCCCTAGCAATGCTAGAAGGGACAAATGAGCTAGATAGTGGGTTTATAGAACATGACTTTTCTTTAGAGTTCTTTGGCAGTTCTGTAGAGTTCATGGAGTAAAATGGGCATGTAAATCTAATCAATGACTGGCTTCTTGGTAGGTTCAATGGTCCACATGCATTTTTATCTTTTTGGGCAGGCATGGAAAGTTCATTTGGATGTCCTTATGTGTGCACGCATAAAAGTTACCCAGTGGTATATTCTACTCTGAAATCCTCCTGTTTATTTTTCAAGTTCCTAGTAGTCCTTTTGTTGATTATAGTTCCCCCCTTTCTTTTACAGCCTAAACAAGAATATCCCCATCTTTGTGTGCACCATGTCATTTCCAGGTCTCGTCTGTCCTCTTCATGTGTTTGAACCTCGCTATCGACTCATGATGCGAAGATGTCATGAGACTGGCACAAAGATGTTTGGCATGTGCATGTATGAAAATGGAAAAAAGTAAGTTACACAGAAGACTGAGGCTGCGACTTTTTAAAACTTGGTTCTACAGTAGAGGTTGAATCCCACAATTTTGGGTTGATTGAACCAACAGATGAAACCATACTAAAAAGAATAAATGTAACTTTTGTTTTTCTGAAATTCTATACATGGGTTCTGCTTGGTATTTTGAGGCAGAATGTCATCTTTTGAATTGTAACTGAATGCTCTCTTCCTCTTCCCCCTCTCCTACAAAACTTAGATTTTAGAGAAGTGAAGAAGAAAACTCCTCTGAGCTCCATGGTTGCAAATCAGCTTTCAGTGTTAGATACCAATGAACAGGAGGAACATAATCAGAATCTAAATAAACAAATAGATGAATGGATATTGATCTGGGTTTTTTTTACTGATACTTCTTTACATGTTAGCCTGCACTGAGTGCTTATCTATGGTAGGTAGAATAGAGATTGTCACCTGGTCTTTTCCTAGATATTGTTCACTATGCCAGCTCTGGCTCTAACATCTGCATATTGAATGCAGTCTATTGCTCGTGCAGGGTGACTTTTTGTAGTGTTTTATGAGTTTGCAGTGTAAAAAGAGGGAACATCTGCATCTGGTTGAAAATGGCATTATTTGGGACTATGCAGGAATTCCAGAAATACGTTAAAAGCGTGTCCTTTTTGGAGACTTCTGGTTTGGGCTTCTTCGGCGACGGACTGAAGTCACAATCGTCCACGATTTTGATCCATGCTTGCCGCTGGAGCGCCCCAAGCCGCCCGGACTCAGGGCTGAAGCCACCCTGTAGAGGTGGATAATTTAAAAACTTTCTTTAAAAAAAAGAAAGAAAGCAGCGGAGGGAAAAAGGAAAAAAGAGGGTGGAATCTGGAAAATGGAGGAGACCACCTGGAAAAAAAATTGATAGTGGAATTTTAACAAGGCTTGCAAAAGATACATTGTAGCTGAAACTTTGTTACAAGAGAACAAAGCCCTTGGAAAGAGAAAGTGAGAAAAGAAGCAAGAAACAGTTTTGGATTATTGGATGATTCCTGGAACTTTGGATGGAGGATCCTAATGAAATAAAATAAAATCAATTGGGGGTTGTTTAAAATTGTTTAAAAATTTTTAAAAATGGCATCACTCCTTGAAGAGTTAAAAATGAGACTTAAAGAACAAAAAGAAGAAGCACAAGACAGAAGAGGATCTTTTGGCTTCGTATTTCAATTTTTAGAAATGGAGATCTTGAACTATGAAAAACAACAAGAAATTCTGGCAGAACAAGAAGGGCGGGACAATGAAGAAGCCATCTTTAATGACCAAGCAATTTTAAGTGGTGTAAAAAAGGGAAAGGGGGGAAAAGGAGTTAAAAACTTAAGTACTGAAGCAACAACCAAAAAAAGAATAATTTGAAAAGTAATCATAATATCAGGAAGAAGCAGAAGGGAGGATCACAGAAGGGAGAATCAGATAGAAAAGGCAATAAAAAGAAGAGGGAGAAGAAGAGAGGGAAGAGAGAAAGGAAAAGAAGCTACAAAAGACAGAAACAAGATATAGAGGTACAGGAAAAACGTACAAGAATTAAATGTATAAACCTATTTAAAAGACACAGAGACAATGGTTAAAATTTAACTTAAAGAGAGGATTCTGCAAAGGTGCATGGAATAGCATTGTTATATAATATGTTAAATGATTAAAGTGATAGAAAAAATTTCTATTGATGTGTAGTGGAATATTTGTTTGTAAAGAGAATAAGGCTCTCAATGATTTAAAAAGAATGTTTTAAAAAAATGAAAAGAAACATGGAAGATTTTTATCAGTTGATAAGATGAACTTGAATAAGAATAATAACTTTATTGACTACTGTTAATAACTATTGTTTGGCTTTTTATTTAAAGACAGTAATAAATAAAATATGAAATATAGATGATTAAAATGAAAGACAACTGATATTACTAGGTAATGTTTGTTAAAAGAAATAGAAATGTAAAACATTGTTATTAACATTAATGGCAGAGCTGTACTTGAATAGAACAATTATTCCATTTACTATTATTATACATATATACATAGATATATATATATATATACATATATACTTTTTTCTTTTAAGAATTTAGTGTGTATTTTAAGGGAATGTACCAAGCAGAATTTGATTGAAAATAGGTATGTGTTATAAAATAGAGGTTAGAAAATGAATGGTATAACTGTAAAGATGTAACTTAAATTTTTAAATAAGATTTGAAAAAAAGATACAAAAGTGTTACACTCCAGTCTAGTAATTACAGGGGAAAAATTTTTTTTTGAGAAAAGATAATATGAAATTGTAAACAGGACAGACGAAAGTATAAAAACATTGACTAGAAAGATTTTAAAAATTAGAAAAAGATATGTAATTGAATTAAGAAAGGAATGAGATAATTTAAAATAAGGCTATAGGAAGCAAAGAAAGGGAAAAGCTATTGAAAAAATTGTGAAAATAGTTATAAGATATGGATTACAATGTATAAGATAAATATGTATTGAGTTTATGTCTGTATGGAGAAGTGATAACCAGGGGCCACGCTGTTCTCAAAAAAACATATTTTATTTGTATTTGTATGTTTTGTGAAAACTTAAATAAAACTTTTATTTAAAAAAAGCGTGTCCTTTATATACATTTGCTGGATATGCTGTAAATGTAAAACCTAAAAGGTATAAGGAAGTTTTTCTTGGGTGTGAAATGCTAGAGTTAAATTGGTACAAATGAAAGTGAATCTGTATTAGAAAGCTATTCCAGTATTTGATAGTGATTGAATTTTAATTTAAGTACATTTAAATTGCATTCTTTTTGATTCTGAATCCTTCCATCCCAAGCCATTCAATTCAAAGCATTTGCATAATAGCATCCATCGTAGGGTGGGTCAAATTTTTCAACTTTCAATTTCCAAATATTAGGGGTGCTCAAAGCTGTGACATGCCTTGGGGATTGTAAAGATATTTTAGTTACTTTAATTTAGATGTGCTTGGCAAGTAATTACATAAATAGATACAATAGAATTCTTTATTGGTCAAGTGTGATTGGACACACAAGGAATTTGTCTTGATGCAAATACTCTCAGCATACATAAAAGAAGATACATCCATCAAGAGTCAAGAATCATAAGGTACAACACTTAATAAAATAGTCATAGGGTACAATAAGCAATCAAATCATACTAGGAAACAGTCAATATAAATAGTAAGGATACAAGTGGCAAAGTTACAGTCATATAGTCACAAATGGGAGGGGATGGGTGATAAGGAGTGATGAGAAGATTAATAGTAGTGCAGACTTTCTAAATAGTTGGACAGTGTTGAGGGAATTATTTGTTTAGCAGAGTGATGGCATTTGGGGAAAAACTCCTTGTTTCTAGTTGTTCTGGTGTGCAGTGCTCTATAACAGGGGTCCTCAACCACCAGGCCGCGGACCGGTACCGGTCCGTGGAGCACTCTATACCGGGCCGCAAAGAAAAAAAAATAAAAAAATGGTGGCTTTCTTCGCCTTCGGTGAATGCTGCTGGGATCGGGGATCAAGGACACAAATGAGAGAAGGGGAGGGAGAAAGCAACCAAAGCCTGTCCTGCTCTCTGGCTCAGCGGCTTCGGTTTCCTCCCGCCTCGTTCCTCTCTCAGTCGCTCTCTCGCTGCTCCACCAGCCCAGGAAGAAACTGCTTCAAAGAAGCCGGGGTGGTGGTGTGGCTTTTCCTGTCGCCGCAGCGCCTCCGAAGCGCCCGTTCACCCCCACCCCGCCCGCCCGCCCGCGGTTCAATTCAGTGCCCCGTTCTGCCTGACTGCCTGTTTGGTTGTTTGGGAGCAGCTTCGGCTGAGAATAATAACTATTTGCCTCTTTTTATCAGCCGAAGCAGCTCCGAAACGAAGAAGGCAGGCAGGCAGGCAGAACGGAGCACTGTGGATTGAACCGCGGGCGGGCGGGCGGGCGGGGTGGGGGTGGGGGTAAACGGGCGCTTCGGAGGAGCTGCGGCGACAGGAAAAGCCACCCCCCCCCGCTTCTTTGAATCAGTTTCTTCCTGGGCTGGTGGAGCAGCGAGAGAGCGACTGAGAGAGGAACGAGGCAGACACCTGAGGGAGGGAGGGAGACACCTGAGGGGGCTGAGGGAGGCAGGGCCGAGGCGCTCCCTGAACTTGGTGGTTTGCTGGCAGACGTTTTATTACCCGACTAGGTAACAACATCAGATGTTACCTAGTCAGGTAATGAAACGTCTGCAAGCAAACCACCAAACTCGGATTCCCCCCCCCCCCCGGTCCTTGAAAAAGTGTTTGTGCTTGAAACTGGTCCCTGGTACAAAAAAGGTTGGGGACCACTGCTCTATAACATCGTTTTGAGGGTAGGAGTTGAAACAGTTTGTGTCCGGGATGTGAGGGGTCTGTAAATATTTTCACAGCCCTTTTTTTTGACTCGTGCAGTATACAGGTCCTTGATTGAACGCAGGTTGGTAGTAATTGTTTTTTCTGCAGTCCTAATTATCCTCTGAAGTCTGTGCCTGTCCTGTTGGGTTGCAGAACCAAACAAGTTATATAGATGCATATGACAGACTCAATAATTCCTCTGTAAAACTGTATCAGCAGCTCCTTGGGCAATTTGAGCTTTCTGAGTTGGCGCAGAAAGAACATTCTTTGTTGTGCTTTTTTGATGACATTTTTGATGTTAGGTGTCCATTTTAGGTTTTGTGATATGATAGAACCTAGAAATTTGAAGGTCTCTACTGTTGATACTGTTGATAAATATTGTAACTTTTTAAAATTTTGTTTGTTTCGTTTCCCACAGGTTACATAGCATACCAGAATTAGAAAAGCAGAATTGTAAAGATGAATCTTCTTTCTATCCTGTATTAAAAGCCTTGTCTCTTTTCAGCTTTGCTGACTATGGCTGCATACTGGAGATTCAGAAAATAGCATTTTTCCCTGATGGACGATCATTGGTGGACACTATCGGCAAGAGGAGGTTTCGAGTTTTGAGACGAGGGCACAGAGATGGCTACCACACTGCAGATGTTGAATACTTGGAAGACGAGAAGGTGAGTAGTCCTTATGTGAATAATAAAGTCTTAAAGATCTGGCTAAAACAAAAGGAATATTATGCATTGGGTGTCACTTGATATAGGTAATACTTGACTTATGACCACAATTGAGCCCCCAATTTTTTGTTGCTCATCAAGACAGTTGTTAAATGAGCTTTGCCCCATTTTAGACTTTTCTTGCCACAGTTGTTAAGTGAATCACTACAGTTCTTAAGTTAATCACACAGTTGTTAAGTGAACCTGCCTTTCCTATTGACTTAGCTTGCAGGAAGGTAACAGGTGATCACATGACCCTGGGACACTGCAACCATCATAAATAGAGTCAGTTGCCAAGCATCTGAATTTTGATCATGTGACCATGGAGATGCTGCAACGGTTGTGTGAAAAACGGTCATAAGTCACTTTTTTCAGTGCTGTTGTAACTTGGAATGGTCACTAAGTGAAATGTTGTAAGTTGAGGACTATGTGTAATTTACAGGTGTTCCTGAGTTTATCTTTCACTTTTCCACCAAAAGATGGCATTCAAGGTGGTAATCAGTAAACACATATTAAAATGAATAAATTTAAGACAGCTGAGCTACAAAATAATAACTTGAACCATGCCTACTCTTTTGAATCTTATAGGACAGATGGTAATGATTGGAGATAGAATATTCAACTTAGCCCTCTGCTGTTTTTTTTTCATTGATACTTTGGTACAATAAATGTATAAAACAAGTAGAAAAACCTATCATATTGATTTATGGGTCTGCGCTTTCAATTTATGAGTCAACAGCTGTCCACTGTTAGAAGGAAAAGCACTTTTTAAATGTCTTCCCTGTTCTTAGTACATTGCAGCAAAGCCAGGATAATCACTGCACCCCCACCCAACTACAGCATTAATTCTTTGATTCATTGGTTAAAATAGTCGCTTGTCAAGCTGGAACTTTCTTTGATAACGTACTAATGCATAGCTTCTATTCACCTTGCTCCTTTTAGTAAGTGAGACTGTTCTTCTGGCAGCTCTCAAATGAGTGCATGTCTGCCTTAAGAAGACTCTCTTTTCTTTAAAGAAGCCTTGGTAATTGAAATGCATCTTTCTACCGTATCTCCTCCTCTTGCTCCCCTTAATGGTCTGTGCACCAGCCTACCTGCTTCATAATTTGCCTTCTATCCCATCCCATCTGCTCAGCTGTCACTCTTGCCAATAAAAAGGACTTGTACCTTTCCTTTTTGCAATTTTACAACTCGGTGGTAGGGAAGAAGGTCTCAACATTTGACCGGTCCCTATTGTCCCAGCACCTTCCTTTCCCACTAGGCTGAGGAGTTTCCTCAAGAGCATTTCCTTCTCTTTTCTCCCAGCCCAAACCAATTCTGTGTGTAGAGCAAAACATCCAAGCACACGTTTCAGTTTTGGCACAGACCACTCAAAACCAGGCTTTTGAAGCATGCAATATTTTACAAATCCCTACTATATGGCAACAACATCTGCGTTCTACTTAGTAGTTATGTTTTCTCTCTCACGCTCTCTTTTGATCTCAACTGTTGTTCAGATTCTTTCATTTTTTATTTTCAATGTGCTTCCCTTTGCTTGTTTTCAACTTCTGACCTTGTGATCTAGATGGAAGGAGAAGAACAGACTGAGCTCCAGAATTTGCATGATTGTACCTATGAGCTAACCCAGAGATTTTATGAACATGGGGGCAGGACTTTCCGACAGCTTGTGATGCATCATGGACCACTTCCAGAAAAAGAGGAAGACATACAGGTATTGAGACTTGTTCTCACCAGGAATATAAAGTAATCTGCAGGGGAATAAGATCTGATAAAAGGGATATATGACTGTCATATAGAATAACAATAAAAATACTCAGATTCCATTCTAATTTGGAGGAGAATAAACAATTTGTTAATTATCTGGTCCTGGCATGGATTCTATATTCTGATAGCCTATTGTGGTACATTAGATAAATTAGGTGTCCACAGCCTTGTTGACCATTTGTTGATTATGTGCCGTCAAATTGGTGTTGACTAGTAGTCAAATGGATAGACTGTTTCTTAGATACATGAGTCATGTCATATTTGGTGGCTTTCTATGGCACACACAAGGTTTTTAAAAATAATCTTGTGTTCACACTCTTAAGTTTAAAAAAAAAAGAATAAGCAGGGGTGGGATTCTACTGGTTCTGTCCACCTCTGTAGAACTGGTTGCTCCGAAGAGTAGTAGACATAGAACCAGTTCTATGTCTGCTGCTGTTGTGGCCCACACACTTGCCTGGGCTCTTACCTGACTTTTATTTCCTGCTTTTTCAACCGCAGCTGCTTTGCGTGACACAGCTGCAGTTGAAAAAGCAGGAAAAAAGGGCTTTTCCAACTGCTGCACACTTGCACGCAGCGCTGCTCAGCTGTCCGGGCAGCTCAGCAGGTTGTAAATTGCACTTGCGCGACTCACGTGACTCACGCATGCGCGCATGACACTAATAGACAGAACCGGTAGTTATACCAGTCGCATCCCATCCCTGAGAATAACCATATCACAACAGATAAATAAATGCTATGCAGCCAATCGAAACTTGTCATTCATTTGTCTTTTCCAGGATCTTAATCCTACATTTCTTAGTAGATAACATAGAAGCCATTTTTAAGTTATTTTCCAGGTACTAGATTGCCTTGAATTTCAGATTTAGGTTCATGTATATAAATGCATTTTGTACATTATAAGTTGAAACAGCAATTGTTAAAACAACAATTCCCTGGAATCAAACTCAACATCCGATGATTATATGGATCTATGGAATCCATGAAGTTTCCCTGGCAGGAATGGAAGTCATTTTCTATTATCTTTTAGGATGTGTGTTGATTTGTTAGATTTGCCTATTGCCCTGGGATTTCCAGTAGTATCCAGTACTATGCAGGTCTATCATTACATATTTTTTCAAGATCAGCCAAAGGCAGATAAGAACTTGCAGCAGCTTTAGCAAAATAAGTTAGCAGTTTAAAATTTTGCATTTTGTACATTCATATAATTTTTAAAATGTAATTTTAGCTATTTGATTAGGTAATGCCCTTTAAATGAAGTCCATGGTATTAGGTTACTATAAGGCTCAAACCATCCATATCTTAGAAATGCAGCCTTCCCAAGTAAATAATATTAGAGATACTGCATTATCATAACTATCCCTAAATGTTTTTCTTTCTACAAGCAGTTAGATGGCCTTAAGAGAATTTTGTACCTGAAAATCATAGTTTTCCAGGAGTGTAGTAATAAACAAAGTTCAGTGGCAAAGTAAATTTAGTTTAGAATTAATTAGCCTATTAATCTCACTTTTCTGTCTAAATAAATTAATTATAAGAATTATGATCTTCAGTTGCTGCAATCTGCAAACCTTTCTCCTTTAATAAGTGAGACTTAACAGCTCTAAAAGAAAGATTGTGTCTTTGGGGCTTTTTAAAATAGGAAGTTTGGGTTCTGTTTTAAAGACTAGAAAGGATATCCTAGTTTGTACAATTTTGCCATGGTGACTATTCTAAATATTTCAGTATTAAGTTACTATTACATTAGCGATATTAATTTAAAATATTAGTAGGCTGTATTAATATTACACCATATCATTTATTAGTTGCATGAATAATTTAAGGAATTGTCATTGCTATAAAATTCTTAGAATGGCATACACTGAAGAATATTAAATTAATAACCCATAAAAAGAAATGAGGCACACAGAATGGATGGCCATAAAACTGGCAACATCTATAGAGCCGTAAGGTTAAATTAAAGCAACTTATAATGTGGAGCAAAATGCCTGGACAACTGGAGAACAGTCTTGAGTTTGACCAAAAAAAATAACAAAATTAACCTCGGCCGTGTTTTATCCAGTATCTTACGCAGAAGTGCCATGGTGAAAGCTTCTTAACTTCAGTCATCACCCAAGTAACCTTGATGAAGATGGCAGTATTTAGCTGACCTTCAAAAATTATAAGCAGTGTTGCTCCTGGCTTGTCCTTGGGGGTAGACATATTTACCACAGGGGAGAGGAACAGAACAACAGTTGTAGGCTAGAACAATTGTAAATATGTTGACTGCCATATGAAAGTTTGAATCCTTCTTCATTAGAAGTCTACAAAGAGGCTAGAATCTAGATGATCATCTATGAGATAAGCTTTACACGGGGAAATGTTTTTAGATGAGACGACCTCTCCTTCAAACTATGTGACTCTGTAAAATTCCAGGGCTGCAACTGGATTGAGAAGTTGAAAAATTCTAGAAGAAAGTAATGGCAAATCATGTATCTATTCCTGCCTAGAAATACGTTTTACTCAAGAATTTAATTTCCTGTCTGTGAAAAACTGAATCAAATCTTAACTCCTTTTCATTTCTAATTACTTGCCGTTTCACCTCTTAAAAATGTTCCTTCTAAGGCATCTATGGTATCCCCAATGCTTGATTGTTTCAGTTCATTATTCCTTAACTATGGTTATATTATTGTTTTCCAAAATCTCAGTCTTTAAAATAAGAAATAAAATCAAAATCTGATTTAAACCAGTATTATTTAAAAAACAAAGCTGTAATTAGATCAAATAGTTAAGGGCTATTTTAAAAAGCTTGCTTAGGATCTTTTTTCTAAAAAAAATTTGCAAAGCAATTAGGGTTTTAACAAATAATTGGAATATTCCAACATTCTGGGCACTTGTTGTTTATGGCAACAATAATCACATTTCCTCTAATGACTTTTACCATGGGGATCCTAAATATAGAAAAAAGTATACTTTCAAATAACCTGGATTTAGGCTATTAAAATTCAACACTCAGAATGAGAGCCATTGAAATGTGTTGGTTAAGTATAATATGACCTCAAATTCTGCAAAAGACCAGCCTACATGTTGAATTTTGTTTTGTTTTTTCAAAACTAGACACAAAGGCAGCCCATCGACTATAATAAATATTATAAAAATCAAACTTGAAGGCTATTACAATGTGTATCATAGTTGCATAGTCATTTTCTTCTAGGAAATGATGGAGTTGATGTACCAAGCTGATAAAAGATACTTTGGATCATGGCTTCATTTTAGGAAAACAGAGAACGAGTTTGAATTCAGCAGTATTCTCATGTATATTCTCATTTAGAATACGATTCCACCCAGGACGCTTCTGAATGGAATTGTCTTCCACCTCTCTGAAACTGTGACCATCTACAATGAGCATCTTCAAACATTATTTGACACTCAGTCTCTTCAGCTTTAAAGAAATAGATTTAGATCTCAGCAAACATGGAGAGAACTCAACTCCATACTTTGTCATAATTTCATGTAGATACTGAAAAAAGACAGAATAGAGCACATGTAATAACTCCATTTCTAGGAGCAATTCAAGCATCTTCAAGGGACCATTTGAGATCAACCTGATGGAATCCCATGTCAAACAGTGCTTTTTATTCCCAGCTTTCCTAGGCAATCTAAAATTGATCAATGTATTGAAAGTTACTGGGTATAATGGAACATGTATATGACCTTGAGGAAAGAGATAAAGAGATGCTTGCTAGGAAGCAATCAAACAAGAGAGGCAGAAGCCCCCAGTGACTTAACTATCAGGAGAAAGAAACTTAGAAAGGACTGTTTCCAATGGTTAAGCAGTTTAAAGTGTTGGCAGGAAGTTTGTACTTTTAGACATGCAAGAATCTGTTATAAGCCTTAAAGTAGAATTAATTTGCCTATTTGTGTTTCCTAACTGGTTTATCTGGAAGATCAAGAAGAACCAACAGTATCACATGTCTATCTAAAGAAGCTGCTTAACTAGTAGGCTAATAAGTCAGCATTAATCTGCTTTTTTAGGGCTACTCGTTTTCTCAGTCACATTAGAGATTAACCTATAATTGGTAATCGCCAAAAGATACAAGTAGTCTAATCATTGCTGCCTTCTCCTCCTGGCAGACATTTACAATGATCTAATAATTCCTGGCTATAAGCTACAAAACAATTTGAGCAAGGATTCAAGGACAAAGTGGTAGATATATATTTTGTGCAAATCATGGTAGAATAGATAATGTTCCCTCCTGTTTTCCCTATAACAATCTTGTGGAATGTTTGGGTTGAGAGAGAATGACTTGTCCCAGAGTTACCAGTTACCATGCCTAAGGAAGGGCTAGAATTGGTGGCATTCAGGTTTCCAGTCCAGCACCTTAACCTTTACACCAAACTACTCCAGCAAGTCTGTTCATGTCCTGTGCTATGAATTGAAATGCATCCAAAAAAGAAGCTATCAAGCAGCATTAATTCTGCATCTGTGGTGTCATCAAGAGTACCTCAAACTATGCAAGTTTTTGACCAGCTTTAAAAAAAACCAGTAAAACAATCACAGTGAGCTCCAGAATCCTGTAATCAAGCTTTGAGAGAAGGTGCCAGGGGGTCTCATACAGCCAAAGCAATAATAGGTTAGGGTTGTGCAGGCAAAAATAACCTCTTCAGTTGCATATATAACTGGATTCAATAGCTTTTGGGGCCAGATCATCCTAACAGCTCCAGTGGCCTTAAATAAGATCTTGATCTTAGGATCACAGTGACCTGTCTCATGATAATGAGGGGAAATGAGGCACTCCCACAGATATATTTCTATGATCAGCATGAAAGATCAAAGACAGAATCCATTTTCTGGGTTCACAAAATGGATTAAGCCACAAATCAGGCAAACAGACCAGATTTGCTCAACCAATTTGTTAAAAACAACAACAAACCAAACTTACCATGTTGTGAATTCAGACACTGGATTTTGAACTAACCCAATTAAGCATGGTTTGTGAATGCAGCTGATATAAATGCACCAGTACGGTGGTTGCTTTGGTACTTAATTTACCTTGTATCGTTAAATATATGCTGTCACATAACATCTATCAATGTAACATTTGGGGCATTGTTTTCTTCCTACTCCTTAGTCTTTCTTGTAGGAGTTTTAAAAAATGATTTCTATTATATTGAAAAGATCACATGCTCAGTAGACAGTGCAAGAATTAAGTCTTCAGCTGATAAAGGAAATTTCCTGTAACACTTCAACGATGAATCTTGATGTCATCAAGATGGATCCACTCAAGTAGCTCTAGTAGGGTCCTAATTTATTTATTATGCAAAACGCATTGATATATTTTCTATTATCTTTTCACTAGGCATCGCCAGATGGACCAGTTTGGTGTTGGTGGCTTATATCTGTCTTGCCCCTTGACTTGACCCACAAGTTGACCATTTTTTCTGAAACCTCCTTGAAGGCACGCCTCACCCAACTAAAACATATTCTGAACATCATTCTGGAAAGTCGTGACTACAGCAATTAATACTCAGACTTGTCACAAGGAAGTTTTACATAACATAGAAGGCAGGGAAGTGGGACTTCTGGAGAAGAAATGACAAACTGCAGATGGCTTGGCAAAAAATGGAACTGACAACCACAGAGGAATGAACTGGCGAATAGACCAGCTCTTCATAATTCTTCTCCAGCCAAGGAGAGATTTGAGATTGCCCATAAGTGCTCTATACAGTTGCGCCTCATAATGCCAATCTGGTGCCCTCCAGAGGTCCTGGGACTGCAATTCCTAGAACTTCTAGCCAGCATGGTTGACTGGGAAATTCTACAAGTTGTGATCCCAGCACATCAAGTGGATGCTAAGTTAGGGTGGTCAAAGCCTTAACATCTTTATTTCCCTCTTTATTGTGATTATTTTGTTACTTTAAAACTGACTTCAGTTGTAGTCCTTGAATGAGGACCCTGAAACTGGTCTGCAGTTGTAGCAAGATTTACTACAATGGTATGTAGTAGTAGCAAGATTTTTTTGAATGGGTTTTGGACCGACGGGGATAAAAGATTCAGTAGTAAGATGTGAATTGTATTCAAGTGAACATATTTCAAAGCACCTTACACCATGAGAATAGGAAATAAAACTACAAACGCTGGGACTTCCTGAGGAAATTTGCCTTATATCATATATTGATGTTTGCATGGGACTCTTCAACATATTTTTCATAATGTATGATGTTCTTTCTTTCTAAGTTACGTAACTCACTGCTATTGATTGTAGGGTAAAAGCCAACTCAGAAATGAGGAACATGACAGAAGGGCTGGTTTTCTTTCCTGTATTTTATTCTGATTGCTATTTAATGACGAATTTCAAAAGGGATCAGATACAATGACATGCTATTGAAAAAGGTAGATTAGAATACTTCTATAAGAGAAAAAAGATTTAAAAGCTGATTGGGACAGATAATGTGTAGTTACCCAGATGTTCAGGAAGTACAATGATTTCTTACCATTTGGAGAGCTATACTTTCCCATCAGTCTGAAGCAGGCCGTTTTAAAGATTTAATTTACAGAAAATGCCTAAAAGGAAACCTGAAAATGAAAATTTAATTGTAGACAATTCTCATGGGATGAAGTGAATAGCTAGAGAAGTAACTACGACCTAAAATGTATAATTCAGGAATTAATCTAGGTTTCAAGACACTAAGGTGGCAGAGTATTTAGCTGAACCAATCTGCTGCATAATTGTACATACTATTAGACAAATTACTGTGAATATATAAAGTTTGATATGCATGTATGTAATATTAACTGAACATGTACACATAGTATAGGGAATGTCTGAATAGTTCATGAAAAGTCAATCATTCGTTCACGTTTAAGAAGTCATGGGATTTTTAAAACAGCTGCTAAGCGATTGGTTTGTAAAATTTGCCAAAGATTAGAATTATTTTTAGATAAAATGTTTTTGTGCTCCAGCCTCAAGAATATGGATTCTGAGAATGAACAGCACTGTACAATACAGGTAGGCCTCAATTTATGACCATAATTGGGACTGGAACTTCTGTTGCTAAAGTGATGTCATAAAATTACCCAATTTTATGATCTTTTTTGCAGCAATTGTTAAATGTATCCAGCTTCCCCCATTGACTTTGCTTACCAGAAGCTGACTGGGAAGGTTGCAAGTGCTGATCCCATGACCCTGGGATCCTGGAATTGTGATAAATAAATGCTGGCTCTCCAGCTCCAAAATTACAATCATATGACTGGGGAAACTTATGGTTATAACATAAGGATCAGCCATAAACCACTTTTTTCCCCAATACGGTTGTAACTTCAGATGGTTCCTAAAGGAATAGTTCTAAGTTGAGGACTAACTCTATGTTGTTGTTTTTTTGGCAGATTTTAAGCCTGCTGTGATATATAGCTGTGTTTGCTTTTAGTTGCACTTAAACGTACACTCCTTATAACAATGTGTTTATGTAATTTAAAATTGGCTTGCCAAAAAGAATTAAAACACTGTAGATGAAGGGCATATGCCACATTATCATTGAAGCTGCTCCACTCTTGTGCTTCTTCTGGTTTGACTGTTAAGTGGTTTAAGAAAATTCTGTTCAGACTCAGATACTTTGTCAACAAATTGCAAAGTATTCAATCTGGACTATAGGTTATCATGTCCTCCCATTGGACAATTCCTCTTGTGCCTGCCTACCATTCTGTATCAGGCAAACAATGGCCAGACATTTTCTTTTCTCTGGATGGATCGTCTTAAAGAGATATGTTAAAAATATAACTTGGAGAGAGAGTTAAAAAACTGGACTTGGACAGAGGAGAGCCAGATTTTAATGCTTCCTTAGATATAAAAACTGGATCAGTGTCTTTGGGCTAGTCACTGTCAGCTCACTCAGGAAGTTGAAAACATTTATCCACCAATGCACAATGGCTGGTATGGTGACCAACAACCTTTAATGAAGAGAGCTTCATTCTGCAATGAATTGCTTTGGGATAATAATGCACACACATACACAAACAAACATCCTAAAACATAAAAGGAGGAAGGCTTTCACTGCAGCCTCTCAATGGCCTTGTAGATTATTTTGGCTGCTTAATTGCTGAGTGTGAAGGTTTTCTACTTCAAATGACAAATTAATGAAATGGTGGAATTATTAATGAGAACGGATAAATAAATGGAAATGAGGGAAACCTGGAAAAGCTTTTTAAAAGAGCAGTTTTCTTTGGGGTGTCAAACCAGAATTCTGAGTGAACAAGACAATTGTTTCACTGATTATACTGTTGTAACAAGATAAGAAAGCTTTAAAAGCTATTAGAACTAATGCTAAGGATTGGTTCAATTGAAGAAATGGCCCTTCTTCTGCAGAGTATCCAGTTGACCTTCAGCTGCAGCAAAATAAAAGCATCTTGGCACAAATAGAAAGTGTCAACTAAAAAGATACTCCTTTGGTCTTTTTAGCTGCCAGAAAAGGGGAGTGGGGGGAAACGACATTCCTTAAATGCCTAGGCCCTAGATAATCACCCCGGCAGCCCTGTCAGAGCCGTAAGAAAGTTATTGGAGAGCATGATGGAGATGGATGCGTCCCATTGGAGAAGTCACATCCAGAGGGTGGGGGGAAGACCAGGGTCAAGGGGGAAATGTATGATGTAATTTAGTATTGGTTGCACTCAGCTAAATGCCAACATGGCCACTTCTAATAAATCAGTGTTCTTTTCTCTGAGATGCGGCTAGAGACTTTTGATTTGAATGGGGGTGGATTTGTTGGAGCCCTGACAGCAAGGAGCAATCGAACTGTCATAGGGAGGAATAATGTATATAGTTTCATGTTGTTGTTTTTTTAAAAAAATGTAAAGCTGGGATGGAGAAATGGAAACAATATAATTTCTCTAATTAAGGTCTTTTGCTTGCTTTAAATTACCTTGCTGTTCTTTTGTGTACTACAAGGGAAGAGGAATTCAACTGCCAAATAGGGGCATTTTGTCCGTATGCTTTTCCCCATTTTTCTATATTTATTTGGAACTATTAGGATAGATTCTAAATGTTTAATAAAATTTAGGCTTAGTTTCAACTTTTATATCTTACACTTAAGTCCTTATCTTAGGGAAAGTGATAATAAAAGGCACCTGATATTTATAGAACATGGTAGAGATTTAATAGTCCTTTGGGCTATTTTGTAATGCTACCACCAGCTGCTTATTTCTCTGCTTGCTTCCAAATATCTTTTTAACCCACTTGTGTTGAACTCATTCTTTTGTATAGTATGCCTCCTCAGAATAATAAGCTTCTCTAAGTTAAGGATATAAAATGGTGTTGAAGGGGTGGAGCAAAATTGCATGTTTGCAAGTTGCGCTCCTTCATGTGTTATGAAATAAAATACTGGTTGGAATTAAATACCCTTGTTTGTCTGGTCTGAAACTTTAGTACCTGCAAATGTAGCTATGCAAGATTGCACAATGATGATGAAAGCAATCTGTTAACCATTCAACTTTTATAACTGCTTGGACAATATATGTCTCTGGAATCCTGGATTCAGAAAATTCTGGCTTCCTCAGTAAATGGGTGGCGGTATATATTTGTGTAAATATATACCACATTTAGGAAAATACTTTTCTTTGCAACATGACTGTTGAAATACAATTTAGGAAAGAATTCCCTACTGATAACTTATAAATTTTGCTTTGGTGTTGTCAGACGGCCAAGGTGATTTGAGAAGCTTAATTTTAAATTTTAATTATTAAGTTTTAGTAATTGGTATTACTTGAATTGCCTAGACAAATAAGCAAACTTTGGTTGTTTTGTTTATTCCACAGACTTCCTGGCTGTTCCTAGTTTTAAAAGATAAGAATTTTGAAAAGTAAAAAAATAAGAGCAGTTGCCCAAAAAGCTAATTTAGTCCTAGGCTGCATAAACAGGGACAGAATCAAGATTACATGAACTGTTAGTACTGCTTTATACCGCTTTGGTAAGACCACACTTAGAATATTGCATTGGTCATCACGTTATAAAAAATATGTTGAGGCTATAGAAAGTATACAGAAAAGAGCATCAAAGATTATTAGGGCTGGAGGCTAAAACGTGAAGATCGGCTGCAGGAATTGGATTTGTCTAGTCTGGTGGAAAGAAGGACTAGGGGTGACACGATAACAATCTTCCAATATCTAAAGGGCTCTCAAAGAACTGCAGGTCAACATATTCTCCAATGGACTTGAAGACAGGATAAGAAGTAAAAGATGGAAACTTATTGAGGAGAGATCCAACTTAGAACTAAGGAGAAAGTTCCCAACAATAAGAACAATAAATCAGTAGAAGATTAACTCCAGAGGTTGTGGGTGGTTCATCACTGGAGGATTTTTAGTAGAGATTGGACAATCATTTCTCCAAAATGGTAAAGGGTTTCTTGCTTGAGCAGGAGGTTGGACTAGAAGACTTCCAATTCTGGGTTGCTGTTTTTTTGTCAAACTAATGAACGTCGTTTGAGCAAACCATTTGTTGGTTCTCAGAAAGATGTACATCTTAGAACAGACAGTATCTTAGAGCAGTGGTGTCAAAATGGCGGCCTATGGGCTAGATGCATCACATGCAGGCCACGCTCACCCCAGCTTCACAAATAGAAAAAATGTCACGAAAAGTCACATGTCTGCAAGTTTGACACCCGTGCCTTAGAAGAGCAGTATGCTCCTTTATTTAGTTTACTTTACTTTATTGCACCTCATACAACGAAATCAAACACCATCTTCAGTGCACATCATGACCACGACCATGAAAATAAACACAAACACACATCCTTCACCCTTCACACATTGAACCGGAAACCCCTGACACCACACCAACACTGCACTATACAGCAGAATTCAAAAGAGCTACTGCCCTGGGATAGATTCTAATATTTATATATTAGTAGTGTTTTAATTATGACAAACAGCAAGAACAGAGAAATCACCTTCTGCAGTGTTTTCATATGGGAAGAAAACAAATGTAAATATGTATCGAGAAAAGAACTACAATAGTAAATTAAATACGAATACAGGATTGTGTTTTGGGAATTTGTTAGCTTTTGGCAATGAAAATTCTTTCCACTAGGTGTCAATATAAAACAAAGATGATCAGAGACAAAAACAAAGAAAAATTAAGCGTACTGCGAATCAAAAATCATGAAGCTCCTTCTAAGAGAGATAAGAAGAACTTGGTATTACGGTATTGCTCTTTTCATCTTCTTTCACCTTTGACTTTGCTGATTCAGGGAGATAAAATTGTTGTTCAGCAACATTTGGAAGTTCTCAGATTTCACAGACTTCAAAGCCTATGGCAACAATGCTGTCTGCATGCCCTTAATTTAACAATTTGCAGTTATTTAACGTTGAGTACTTAATGCAATACAGATAGTCCTTACTTAGTGACACTTGTTCATCATTAATGATTTGCTTACAGATACAACTGGAACTTCTGATATAAATTGGTGCAGTCATGTGAATGTTAACATGACTGTATTGCTTAGTGATAGAGTTCCTGGTCCCAATTATGGTCATTAACTGAGGATTACTTGTACATCATACTTGGTTAGTTCTGGATGTAGCCATTCTTTGTATAAAGGCATTGAAACAAATGGAGAAAGTTAGCTCTGACTGGGAATAGAGAAAGGATTTCATGTAGTTACTATTTTAATGTGAGCTTGGCTTTCAAAAGAGTATATAGAATGAAGTAGAGCAGATACTGCAGTGCAAGAAGTGCAGAATGAACAGTGGTGAGTAGAGCGGCTCTTCAACACCTCTTTAGACAAGGACAGGACTTGAGATCACCCACACATACTCCAGGCAGCTTTTTCTCATGTTGAAACCACAAGATAGCACTCTCTGGAAGGTTTAATGCTGGAAGGCAAGGGAATAGTCTTCCTCAAACTGCAGTCAGAATCTTTCAATCAACGCTAACTTTGCAAACTTCTTTTTCTAATCACTTTTGGAAATTAGGTATTAACTGCTTTGCAGCTATTAGAAACCTTTGGATTGACAGGCTTCACGGCACCAGGTGAGTTTCCTTCAATCTTTAGCGAAATAATATTTTAATTACAAATTTAAGGACTTATTTTTTTTTAATAAACAGCAAAAGGGTGATTAAGTTTTTGATCTTAGAAAGTTGCAGACAGACTAAGGGATCCAGATAGGTTTCAAATAAAATGTAACTAAAAATCACAAAGGAGACACACACATAAACTTGATTTATGCTTACAGAATGAAACAAGATATTCTAACATTGGACATATTAAAGGTTTTTTTTTTTTTAAAAGAATGGACCCAGAGGTTAATAGTATCAAAAGAGATATCTGCAGTATCTCTATGGGGAAACTATGCCTAAAATACATTATGGAAGAGGAACAAGTCTTACCTAACTTTTACCTAGATGGAGGCTGAGTTGAAAGTGGATATACAAATTATAGGCTACCAGAATAATATTGAAAAACATGTACTGGATACACAAAAGAAACTGGCTGATGTTTTAATAATTAATAGGAATATACAGACAATAAACCAAGAGAGTGGCAGCCTCTCAAATATGAATACTTCTATCGTATCCCCGCTAGTTCTTCTTTTTTTTTAGACTAGCCATAAGATATTCCATGCATAAGTTGCTATGGGGCAACCTTCCTAAACTGAGTGCCCTCCAGATATATAAATCTGATAACTTTAGGATCTGGAATGATCCTAGACTGGGAATACCATGGAAACATTTTTCTTCTGTCAGATGCTGACCAGTCTCCTTTCACCCCAGCTGAAGTTACAACCAGTGAAGACTGCCCATCTAAAGCCCATTAGACAAATCAACTCTGGAAACTACAGGGACATAATTCAATATGGAAAGGGTAATTTCCAGAGAATAGAATAGAATGGAATGGAATGGAATAGGAATAGAATAGAATAGAATAGAATAGAATAGAATCGAATCGAATCGAATCGAATCGAATAGAATAGAATAGAATAATAGAATAGAATAGAATAGAATAGAATAGAATAGAATAGAATAGAATAGAATAGAAGACTATATTGGCCAAGTGTGATTGGACAGACAAGGAATTTGTCTTTGGTGCATAAGCTCTCAGTGTACTTAAAGAAAAAAAATACATTGAATGTATTGAATGGCCCCTGCTTCGAATGGCCACCTTGTGAGAAATTAAAGTTAACAATCTCTTAAAGTCATGCATTGCCCTTCTGGCCAATTAAAGCACACAATCTTCACTTGTAATGTTTTGGTGCTAAAATTCACTTATTTCCGGGGGCTGACATTCTGCCTCAGTGCTTGAAGCTGTCCTTTCAGGTCTTTGGAGGCTCTGTATTTCCAGATGTTGCCACCATCAAAGGTTTTCATCTCTAGCTGCTGCTTGAAAGCCAGGAGTGAGGCAACCATGAAAAGGAAAACACGCAGCCTGCCTAGGAACCACTGCTTTGTTCTTCAATAGTCTTTAAAATAATGCTCTCAGCTCTGTTCTACTGAGGTCAACAGAAAAGGCTGAGTTTAGATTTTTTTTTAAATGCCAGGGGCTTGAAAAATGCCAGTGAAAAGAATT